TTGAGTGCAAAAAAACGATAAGCTATATCTTAGAACTTACATGGCATTTGGATGATAGAAACTTTCATTTATTGACCAATAGGAAATAAGTAGAACAAAAGATTATTCACTATCTACCTTGAAAAAAAAAAAAGCATGAATCTAGATAAAAACTTTTATTACTTCCCTATTTTTTCCTCACTGCAAGAGGATTTAACTAATCTATTAACTATCTTGTTCTCTTGTGAAGTGTTCAAAAAAAAACAATTCCTTTTTAACTGGTTAACACTTTAAAGTGGCAGGAAACTTAAAAACCTCTCATATAGAGAGTTCATTCTCTTCTAAGGCCAAACTAAAAACATAAATCAGGACAAAGAATCAAATCTAGTGATTCTGTATCTCCTAGGCAAAGTAGTTTATTGCTCTAGGAGATTCCTAATATGCATGCTGTTACCATCTTTTGTAGTGAATTGTGGCTTTGGTCAAATTTCTTGGGTCTTTACATCCCACAACCAGTCTGTTTCTACCTCAGACCCAAAAGAGTGGAGGCTAGGCAGGCAGACATATGGAGAGTGGTTATGTTAATATGCAGGGAAATTGTTTCAATTTATTCCCATTTAGCCATGTCTTGGGGGAGCAAGGGGGGTTAATTTAAGGAGAAGCAATATCAATCAAACAAACAGAAACTGAAAAAAATCAAATTATTCTGGGTTTTTGCCAGAGTAAGCTGCTATTCCCACTTTACAGAAATACTTAACACTGAGAGAAGAAACATTCATGATTTGCTAATCTGAAGAAGAATGATTCTACTACTATCCCACATTTGTTTCCTTTTCACAGTAGGTCGCCATGAAAAAATTCTTAGAAAACCAAATAGAGTTGCAATTTGAGCATCAGAGTAATCCTTGTTAGACTTTCCTCAAGATAAGAGAATTTTTTCTTTTTCCTAAAAGAAGAAAAACAGGAAGAAAAAAAAACTGCCACATGAATTGAAAACTAACAACTTAAATGCCTTGATTTATTTTATTTTAACGTTTCATAAAACTTATTCCTTTATTATAATGAAAAGTCCAAGTTTCTGTTTTGTCAGAAACAGCCCTCAGGTCATGTTTAATCCTTGGAGACAGCTCCCCCTGCTGTAATAAGTGCTTAATTGCAGAAGGATATTTTTATTTGTTTATTTTTTTGCTTTCCAATGAAAAGGAGCAAAGATTGATGCACTCTAACAGGAGGCTGAGTGCCCTTGTTCCATAGACTGAATTTACAGCTGAAATTCTGCACAGCTTGCTTGAGAAAACAAGGGAAGTCTAGCTGTTTGGACTATATTTTCTCTAAGGAGCACTGAAGAAACAAGTAGAGACTAACAAACGAGGGGGAGTTGCAGAAAGGGGGAGCTCCCCGCCCCCTCAGCCCCCCTCACCCATGGTGCTCAACTGAGAGGCCCGACAGATAGTGGCTGCAAAGCTTCCTTGCTTTGGCAGTGTGGACTAGCATCCAACGCAAGGATATCAAACGCTGAGCGACAGAGATGGAAGGAGAGCCCGAGAAGCGTTGGGCAGAGGATGCCAGGGGAACAATCCGCCTGGGAAGCAGGGTCTGCGCCTTCCCAGGGAAAGAACATAGCTAATGTCAGCAGGAGAGCAGGAGAGATTCACCAGGGTGTGCGGCTCCAGAATAGACAGCAGCCTGTGGGTTGCAACCAGCAGTGACCTAAAGGGAACCTCTGCTTTCCTGAAAGGCGTGGCACAGAGCCCCAGCAAGCATCTAGAATTGTGCAGCAGGGAGAAGGGAAAGAGGGTCCTCCCACCTCCAGAGGGAGATTGAGCTGCGACTGCAGCTGCCAGCAGGGCAAAGCAGCGATTTAAACATTTATGTATTTTTACTGATTTCAGAGATGGAGAGAGAGAAACATCAGTGATGAAGGAGAATCATTGATCGGCTGCCTCCTGCACACCCCACACTGGGGATGGAGCACTCCACCTGGGCATGTGTCCCCACGGGGAATTGAACCATGGCCTCCTGGTTCATAGGTGGGCACTCAACCATTGAGCTATGCAGGTTGGGCAGAGAACAGAGATATTTGACCCACACTGAAGAAAGCTGGGAATTTCGGCCTCAGCTTTACTGAGATCAGCTGTGTGTAGAACCTGCATGGGGCTGACTTTGTAACCCCTTTTCCTTGATGCGAGTGCAAGGATGATTGAGTCCTTGCAAAGCAGGTTTTCTGCTTGCTTCTTTGTGTGTGTGTGTTGTGTGTGTGTGTGTGTGTGTGTGTGTGTGTGTGTGTGTGTGTGTTTTGTATGGCACCCCATGATATCCACTGGAAAGTCTATTGGGGAGAAGGACCAGCAAGAGCCAGGCTTTTTGTCGGCCTTGTGGTAAGGCTGACCCAAACGCCCCGGGTTCAGCCAGAGGTTGCTGGGAAAGGCGGGTAGAGTACATCTACCTCTCCCATAGGCTAGGAGCACCTCCCCCAGGAGGAAAGGGGCTGGATTAGCTCTCTGAAGCCCCAGATACTCCCACTGGCCAAAGTTTGCTGGGGAAAGGGAGACCAGCTCAGAGGACATTCCAAGTGTAAGACTCTCATGGGGTATTGTTTGGGACCGGGAGGAAAAGCTCCCCCCCTCTGGGGCTGGGGAAGGCAATGTGCTCACCGGAGACTCTCTTGATCAATCCTACTGAGCCCAGGACAACAGGAACTGCCCGTGCAGAAAAGGCAGCAGGCTGATCCAAACAGCACCCGCATCAGGCCATTTTAGGGGAAACTAAGGTCAGAGCACAGGGTACAGACTGGATAGTTGGCTTCAAAGCAGAGACTAATCTTCCCTCAGTGAGTGCCTGATGGTGAAAGCTCCAAGGAATGGGCCCTCTAGCCCTGGTTATGTAGCCTGCCTCCACCCTGAAGACTCTTCAAGAGACACGGAGAAAGACCAGGCAGCTACAGGGAGGAGGCGGAGGAGCTGACAGATGGAGGCAGTCCTCAGCCTCAACTGACCAGCTACAAACGGACACCAAGAGCCACACTTGGACAGCCCCTCCACTGGCTGACACAAAGCCCCTCTCAGGCCTGGAATCAGCATATAAAACAGTGAGCAATGCCGAGACAAACTTCACTTGGTTTACTTAAAAAAAAAAATGTTTTGTGTTTTTGTTCTATTTTAAATATTTTCTGCTTTATTGCTTTGGTGTTATTATAAGTTTTTGCTTTTCTCTCTTTTATTTCATATTTCTTATTGGCTTCCTTCCTTACTTTTTCTTTTCCACCTTCTTTTGCTTTATATCTCTTACCTTTGCATAAATTTTTTTTTCTCTTTCTTACTGTTTTCATTTTCCTCTCAACTGTTTTGCTTTCTTTCGAATCTTTTTTTCTGCCCAGTAACCTCTTTTAAAAACTTATTTATTTATTTACTATTAGCAATATCCTTTTCAGTCTTTTTTATTGTCTTAGTATTTGTCTTCTCTTTTCTCTTTCCTAATTCTCTTTGGTTGGTTTAATTATGGTTATAGGGATATTTTGTATGTGCTGTTGGTTTTGTTTTGCCCTGTCATCACCTGTACAACAGTTCACAGTGTGGTTAGCCAGCCTGAGAGGACAGCTCTCTGACAAAGAGGACAACAATCTAGACCCAATCACAACCTGAGGACCCAAATAACACACAAAAGGGACACACATACAGCTAAGTAGTATTATACAAGGAAAACACACCACTGATCCTACAGGACATTTACTACAAAAGCCCAGCCCACAAGACTGGGAGTCATAACAAATATATATTAAAGCATGCAACCGACTGATGTATTTCAATGGGAAGAGATTAACCAAAGTACTTGTAAGCTTATATGTGTAGCCAATGGTCAAACAATAGTGAGGGGAAGGTCTGGGGAGGGGGCAGGAGAGGGTGGAGGGATCAACAGTGGAATAAATGGGGGTATTTATATTTTTAATAATAAAATTTTTGAAAAAAGAATATGAAGAATAAAGATACAATTATTAAAGTAAAAGAAATTTTATTTTGAATAATATACATATCCTTAATTTTATTTTTCATAGTGCATAGTATATATGAGTATGCAAGGAAAAATAAACATTAGGGATGCCTATGGAATGAAGTATGTGGGTGAAGAAGACTCTCGATATACGGCTTAGCATCATAGGACAGTATCCATTAGAAAAAAATACAAACCATGCAAAAATATATTCAAATCATGGTAAGTGCTGTCAGTACAAATTATAGTTTCTTGGGTATAAAAAGTATATTTGTTCTTTGGATTGAAAAAAATAATGTATAAATATGTGGCATGGATTTTTAGTTCAAGCTGAACATCATCTAAAGTAAAAAGTGTGGATGCCACATGTGACAGTAAAATATTAACGGCCACATATGGAGGTCACCAGCTTAACAAAGAGAATACGAAGAGGTAGAGAAAAAAATTTTAATAAGAAATGCAATGAAACTACCTCTGCCTAAATTAGAAAACTGAATGTACTGGCATTAAAATGATCAGCTTCCCATACTATGCTGCATCTCTTCCTCTGTCAAGAAAATTCACTGGGTATCACTACAAAGCTAGTGAATATGATGAGGTAATAAATGTAGAGCTTTGGCATTAGGGGAAGTTTAATATTTTTCATTTTAAACTAGAGAAAACAAGAATATAGAACTAGAAATGCTCATCTCTCCATTCGGCACACTACCTTGTAAGTATTTCAGATTTACTGTTTGGCACAAGGAGAACAGAGATATAAAGATATAAATCCAACCTTCCAAATCAAAGGTTTTACAAGAAAGCTAAAGAAAGATAACATTCCTTACCGTTTTAAAACTATATGCTCAAAGTAGGTTTTAAATGTTGAGATGATAAAAAAAGGTGAGAGAAAAACAGCAAAGAGAGATACTTAAAATCTTCTGGTTTCCTTTACAGTTTCTTTTTGTTCCATTTATTTCTCTAAATTGCATTTTACAGTAGGAATGCAGACCACTTTGGATAGCTGTGGCTCAATACTGCTTGACGCTCTCCTCTTAATACATCATCTTCTTACACTCCACGGAACAGAAAACCATCCCCTCCACCGGCATGAACTTCTGCCCAATGAGACACTTGCTGCAGCAGGAGCACAGGAAGCACTCGGTGGACGCATGCCAGCTGAAATTGTTGTAGGTCACTCGCTGCACTTCGGGATCAATGGCATTGTGGCATCCCTGACACACCTGTTAATGATACAAAAAAAGAAGAGATGAGATTGAACTTTCAATTAATCTTTCTAGCCAACAACTGCTAATGGGGTTTATATGCTGAGCACCGTGAGAAATAACAGGTGAAGGCCAAGCAGGTGATTTGGTGCTTGCAAAATATCTCCATGGTATTCAAGGCAGAAAGTCTTGATCGGAAGTTACAAAACTTTGCATCTGGTTCAAGGGCATTCCATTATAACTGCACATTAGTGATTACAAAGAGGTTCATGATTTTCCGACAACACCAAATTCGAGGAGGCCAGGGAGCAACAGGAACTGGCATCACTGAAGTGCAAAGTGAGGCCACCAGGCAGTTTCTTAACTAAAGTGAGGCCACCAGGCAGTTTCTTAACTAAACACACTTTTATCACACAATCCAATGATCGTGTGCTTTGGTATTTACCCAGAGAAGTTAATAACTTATGTCTACTCAAAATCCTGCACCTGGAGGTTGCTTTACTCTTAACTGCCAAAACTTAGAAGCAATCAAGATTTCCTTATTAGGTGAATGGATAAATGGTGGTATATCCAGACAATTAAATATTATTCAGTGGTAAAAAGAAATGAGCTATCAAGTCAGATGCAAATTATAAAGGGAAAGAAGCTCATCTGAAAAGGCTACATAGTGTATGATTCCAACTATGATATTCTAGCAAAGGCAAAATTATGGATACAATAAAAAGATGAGTGGTTGTCAGAAGTGGAATGTGTGGTAGGGAGTTGGGAGAGACAAAGAAATAGAGCACAGACAATACTCTTTATGACAATATAATGATGTGTGTAGATTTACATATAAATATGTAAATATTTTCCTATATAACAAAGAGGTAATATGCAAATTGATCATCACACCCTCACAAGATGGCTGCCTACGCTCAGGCCAGCAGGAGGGTTAGTGAAGGACCACCAAATGACTGAACAAGCAGGCTGTGTGGGGCAACCAGGCCAGTGAGGGGTCCATGAGGGGTGACCAAGCTGGCAGGTGGGGGAGCATTTGGCGGTGACCAGGCCAACAAGAGGCAATTAGGCTGGCAGGAGAGGGGAAGGGCAGTTAGGGGCAACCAGGCTGGTGGGGGGTACAGTTGGGGGCAACCAAGCCGGCAGAGGGGGAAGTTGGGGGCAACTAGGCAGGTGGTGGGGCAGTTGGGGGCAACCAGGCCAGCAGAGAGGGGGGCAGTTAGTGGTGACCAGGTCATCAGGGTGGGGCATTAAGGGGTGACCAGGTGGGGGGGAGGAGGGGGGCAGTTAGGAGGCTGGCAGGGAGGGGACAGTTGGGGATGACCTGGCAGCCAGCAGGGGGCAGTTAAGGGCGATCAGGCCGGCACACAGAGGCAGTGAGGGCGATCAGGCCAGCAGGGAGGAGCAGCGACCAGGCAGGCAGGCAGGTGAGCGATTAGGAGCCAGTAGTTGAGGATTGTGAGAGGGATGTCCCAAGGATCAGGTCTAAACCAGCAGTCAGATATCACCTGAGGGGTCCCGGATAGGAGAGGGTGCGGGCTGGACTGAGAGGATCCCCTCTCCCCCACACCCTCCCTCCTTGACCCCATCGTGCACCAGGCCTCTAGTCTATATATATATATATATATATATATATATATATATATATATATATATATATATATAAAAGCCCAGCGACCAGAAAGGCGGGACAATCAGAATGACCAGTGGCTATGACATGCACTGCAGCAGCAAACCAGCCTGATCTGGGCCCTGATGGATTCCCCCCTCCCATCGGTCCTGCCACACTGGCCTTCAACATTCCGATTGGGGGCGGGGCCACCTGGCTTATTCCCTCTCATTAATGTTTCTATCTCTCTATGTCTCTCCCTTCCTCCTCTCTCTCTAAAAAATAAATAAAAACATATTTTAAATAAATAATAAATAAATAAATAAAGGCACTGTACAGGCTCCAAACAGCAAAAACAAAGCTCTGGTGGCTGGTCTAGTAACATGAACAGAAACCACAGATACTAAAACAAATCTAAAGAATATGAACAGCACCCCAGAAATCTTAATTTAAATGGAATCTGATCTGCATGATCAGAATCAATCAATTAATCTCATTCTCATTAAGAAACTTTTTAAAATGGGAATTTGATTATCAAGAACCGTTTAGGATGCACAGATAGAAATCCCGAGGAGGCCCACAGTGAACACACGGATTGCTTTTGCATTGTCCGGATTTTAACACCCGAGGCAGGAATTACGGTTCGTATTTGGAAGTAGTACTTGCTAGTTCTCACTTCTAGGAGGCTTCACTAAAGGAAGTGAAGAGCAGGCACCCCAGCGTGCTTACCACGGCATGGTTCTTCACGTAGCAAGGCTTGCACACGGGCTTGTCGCAGACCATCACGTATATTTCCCCGGCGAGGATGCTGTCACAGTCAAAGCAGCAGAAGTGTTTCAGGTGCCAATTTTGGTTTTCTGCCTGGGTGTACTCATTGCTAAATATCAGCTGGGAAGAGGGTAAAAATAAGATGAATTGTGTATTTTTGCCGCAAATAACAAAGCTAGGCGCTTTAGACAATAAGGGGTTTAGATCCACAAGTACATCAACTTACTTTCTTGTCTGAAAATAACCTAAAATTTGAACTTAGGTCATTAGTTTAGTCCAAATCAATTTTTTACGTTTCTGGACAACCTTTCCTTAGTCAACCAATTAACACAGCACACAGGATGATTGAAATTAAAGTTTTTCATTCCATTTCTTTGGATGTCAATAAAGCAACCGATGCCTGGCTAACTTATGTTGCTTTCTCACTAAGGCAACTGGTGGTCTGAAAGGGTGGCGACCGCTGCACTAAGGGGAGCCTTAGGATGGTAAGGGGACCATCTGGGGTACAAAATGAGCCTGCATGTGAGTGGCCCCAGAGAAACTCACCTCATCACAGCCAGCACATCGGGGTTTCTCACTGTCACAGTAATGTCTGCCACAGTATAGCTTCCCATTCTTCCAGAAATAAATCATGTCGACCAGGAGTTCCTGGCAGGTACTGCAGACAAAGCAAGCGGGGTGCCACAGCTTATCGTAGCCAGCCCTTTCAGCGTAGATGGCGGGGTCACCTTCCTTCATGCCCAGCTTGCAGCAGTAGCAGGACTGAAAGGGAAGCCATCCAAAACGATCTAGTCATACAACTGGCATTTCTCATCATCAGCTTCAGTAAAAATCCAGAGACACCACTTTTAAGAGAAATAATTTGTACTGAAATTATAGTGCATTCAGGTAGACAATAAAGGTGAAACAATCCTTGACTTTCTCAAGGCTGTTCAAATTTAATTCTTGCACCCTGTGTGTGAGTATTATTTCCTGAATTAAAGCACTTATGGAAAAAGGCTAATAGTAATTTTCACCTAAATTTATTTCATTTTCATCACCATCTATCCCTTCTGTGCCCTCTTTCATCTTCCCCCGTGCCCTCCACCCCGCAGGGGGCTGTTGGGAGTGGGAGAAATGAGCAAAAAAGAACATTTCCACCTAAATTTTGAGTGGGTCTTTAAAAAATTACCTTAGAGCTTATTAGAATTTTTTAAAATAAAACTAAGTCTTATTTGTTGAGGTGCTAATTGAATCTATGGAAAATATATTTAAGTTTAGTTATCAGATGGACCTAACGAGCATTATCCTAAGCAAAATAAGCCAGTCAGAGAAGGATAAGTATCACATGATCTCATGCATTTGTGGAATATAATGAACAACATAAAATGATGGGCAAAAATAGATCCAGAGACAAAGAAACATTGAACAGACCGTCAAACCTCAACGGGAAGGCAGGGGAGGGGAGGAGAAGGGTGCGGGCCGCCAGGGAGATCAACCAAATGACCTGGATGCCTGCATAAGCAATGGGCATATGAGCATAACCAATGGACACAAGACAGTACGGGGGTGAGGGCATGTGCTGGGGGGTGGGAGCAGCCAGGGAGAAGTCAATGGGAGGGAAAAAGAAGACACATATAATACTTTCAACAACAAATAATTTAAATTAAAAAAAAATTTTTTTTGTATATCTATATCACAATTTTCTTCAAGCCAAAAAAAAAAAGACTTCAATTTTCCTCTTTAGGAGAGATTTTAAAAACTGATTGAATATATGTCCTCATAAATTTAAGTTTCAATTTTAGGTGCAATGTAGCAAGCAAGCAAAACTTAATTAATCTAATTATATATTACTCTTATTTATGGGAATAGATAAATAATTAACACCAAAATTATGTTTAGAAATAGATTCTAGATTAGAATGCTGTATTCCAGCTCGATACCAATGATAACTACTGTGTTTACCTAAAACTCGCAATTATTCTTGGCAACAAGCAGTCAGAAAACTTGGGGGGTCAGTTTGATTTTTAAGGGGAGCAATCTGAGAATGAGTTATTAACAGTGATTTTTTTTGCATTTTTTATGGTTCTAGGGACTTCATATAAAGTACATAAATCTATACTGTGAGATATTTATGCATTTCAGTTCTCTAGTATATGTTTTGAAACTTTATTTGCTATTTTTTCACATCACAATATTTTTTAACAATTTCTTACTGCTTTCTTCCTCAGTATTTTAACTGTCCTTTCGTTCTTTTATTTTTCTCTCTCGTGGATGCCATGCTCTTTGAAGCTTGTTTAGACCAGGTTAATGGCCTTTCAGGCTTCCTCCACATGAACAGGAGTTCACTTTCTGAATAGTAAGAATTATATGTCACGAGGGTTGAGGGGGCATCAGGATTTTAGAGATGCTTATGTGGGGCATGGCACAAAAAGGTTGGGAACCAATGGTCTAGACACAGGTTTCAAACATGATTCTTTAAAATCAGCATAAACTAAATTTTAATTCAATTTATTTCCCTCCCTTTTGGAAACAGGAGTGGTCTCCAAAAAGAGCCAAAGAAAAGGAAAGAACCTGTAAAATACACCAACGGGACCAATGACGTGCCCGCTGCACTCACATACTGAGTCCTGTGTTCTGCCGCTTTGTCCTCTACGGTGCCCACCGACGCCACGGTGCCTCTGCCTCCGCCAGGGATGTACATTCTGTTGGAGTCTTGAGCATCCATTTCACGGGGAAGTTTGACATCTCCTACGCCCAGAGCCTCGCTCTTGTATTTCTTCACAAACTGCTCCATCTCCTTCACCTCTTTGGGGGACAACTCATGGCACTTGGAAGGGTCCTGGTCGTGTGCAGGGAGCTGCTTTGCCAGCTGCTTCTTCCGGTACTGCGCCCCCTCGGAGCCCGCCACTGGCTGCTTCTCCTTGGGCAGCATCTGCATGTACTGCCGGGCCTGAGCCACAGGGAGACCAGTGTTAACTAGGAGATAACTTGGCCATTAGGGCGGCAAAATTACTTTACAGACACACCAGAAGCAAGTTACTTAACGAAGAAGTTGGCTTTTCTCTATTACCAACAAATTATCTCCATCATGTAAATATCCTGAGGTATTAGCATATTGAAAAGTGATATACTGAATAGATTTAATTCAATAAAAAATTAACTCATTTTTCTTCAAAAAAATTAAATTTTTGCCCTAGTGGGTTTGGCTCCGTAGATAGAGCATCTGCCTGTGGAAGGGGTCCCAGGTTCGATTCTGGTGAAGGGCACATGCTCAGGTTGCAGGCTCAATCCCCAGTGGGGGGCAGTGCAGGAGGCAGCCAATTAATGATTCTCTAAGCATTGATGTTAATATCTCTTTCTAACTCTCCCTTTCTGAAATCATAAAAAATATATATTTTTTAAATTAATATTTTTCATCAATTTATAAAAAGATTTGGGTTACTAATGTTTACTTGTACAAAATATACAAATGTACAATTGTAAGAGAACACAGATTTTTAGGCAGCATCTATAAAATGGTCTATGAATCAGCAGCATTTTCTTTATAAAAAAATATCATTATAAGATTCACTCTAATAATTTAACTCATGTTTTTATTTTTTTATTTTTTTATTTTTTTAAATATATTTTATTGATTTTGTACAGAGAGAAAGGGATAGAGATGGAGAGCTAGAAACATCTATGAGAGAGTCATCGATCAGCTGCCTCTTGCACACCCCCCACTGGGGATATGCTCACAACCAAGGTACATGCCCCTTGACTGGAATCGAACCCGGGTCCCTTCAGTCCCCAAGCCGACGCTCTATCCATTGAGCCAAACCGGTTTCGGCTTAACTCATGTTTTTAGAAGACTTCTTCTCTGTGGCTCATCTGGTTAAAACTGGAGCATTATACAAAATAAATTTTTTTTTTTTCCTTACATAGTAAAATATAGTGTTGAATATGTTTGGAGTTCTAAATAATGACAAATTTTATTCCTAAGATATTATTTACCATCATAAGAGAAATATTCTCAAGAGCAAGCTAGAAGAGTCACTAAATTTGAAAAGTATCTGTTTTTTCATCTAAACTATTTTGTCAGACCATTTCCTCAAAGAGGTTAACATATTTGATAGAAAAATGCTATGAGGTATCTAATCCTATTTTCAAAAGACTACAATAAGAGTTGAAAGTCAAAGTAATGGGACCCCAGGAAGATAATAGACCTGACTTTGATTAGGTCACTGAAGGAACTGAACTGCTCTAAATAAGTAGTTGGGGAAGCTTAATTAAGAAACTTTCAAACCCCTTCCCCCCTCCGCTTACTTACCAATGCCTGATTCTGAACAGGAGGAGCCCATTCATAGGTGACTGTATTGATGGCGACATTCTTCTTGGCAGCAACTGGATTGGTCAGTATCATAACATTGCGTTTATACATGGGAATTCCATCTGATTTCAGCTTTGCAATCAGGGTGGTATACTTGGTGTCTTCAAAAAGTTTCCCCACTTTTCGATCCTCTTCATTGCTCAATAGGACATCATGCTCTTCTTCACCACACTTGCAGTTACGACATATTTTTCTATGATTTTGGAGAAAAGTAGGCAATGACTAATTCTACAAAATCAATTATAATTATGTGCATATAACTTATAATCATTAAAATACTTTTACATATATTCCATTTTATAGTACTCAAGGGAAAATCTTTTTTTTTTTTTTTTGTCAGAGAAATACTAAGTAGCTATCCATAAATTTAAATAAGGAAATATAAAAATGTACCTTCACTTTACAAGATCTTTTAAAAAATTCGTTTTTATTTTAAAATACATGCCCAAGGGGCCATTCTGAGAGTAATGCCACCTGGTATTCTTCATTCTCATAAATAAATAAATAGATAAATTAATACATAAATAAATAAGTCCAGCAGAAAAGTATCACAGCAAGAAGTTTCTTTTTTTTAAGCAATCACATTTCATAGCCATTACTCAAGTTTTTTTTGTTTGTTTGTTTGTTTTTGTTTTTAAAGGAGAAATAGAGAGATTGATATAAACTTTTTTCATCAAGAACTATAACTCTAGATTTAGGTTTATCTTTTCTGACCAATTTCCTTTCCCATTTTCCATTTCTTTACTCCTTTCTCTGCCCTCTTCTTTTATTTCTTCAAACACTTAGTGATCACCTACCGTGTGCCCCGATGTGTACATAAAAAGATAAATGAAACTTTCTGCTCTTCTTACCCTGCCAGCTCCCCCAATCTGGTCTAGTACATAATTACTCATTCATTCATGCAGCATATATGAGTGTCTATATATATTATATTACCAAGCAATGTACTTGATACTAGGACATAACGGTGAGGTAGCCATGAGATTATGCAGGGCCTTGTAGGACATCTTTAGGAATCTGGCCTTCATTGTAAGAGCATTCAGGAGGCACTATAGGCTTTTAGGCAACAGAATTACATGTTTGGATCTATTATTTTAAAAAACTATAATACCTATAATAACTGCCTTGTGGAGAGATGAGGGATACATATAGTTGAAAGTAGGCAGACTAATTAGCACGTCAATGATTTTAAAAAACAAATCAAAGAACAAGTTTAAGATCTCCTTGAATGTAAACCTGACCACACACTGTGGCTGATTTGGATGTATTGATGGTGAAGGGAAGGCCCGCTTATCAAAAAGGATGAGGTCATGAAATGAATACAGGTTTCTGGAATGAGTAAGTAGGTAGAACAAATATAATTTATTACAAATAGATCTGAGGTATGAGGAGAAAAGGTTGATGAGAGGACTCCATAACTGAATTACTGTTAATTTTGAAATGTCTATGAGAATGGTAAAGATCTCAAGTACATTGTAGGATATATAAATCTAGTGTTAAAACTGTGGCCTATTAAAATATATAAACTCAAGAGCCAGGGAATGATGAATATGCATCATGAGTTGAATCCGGGGGAGACGTGGAGGAAAAGGTGAAGACTCAGGAAAGATTCTGGCAGAACAGCAGATCTGGAAAATGTGACAAAGGAAACTGGAAATAGAGAGACTGTGGTGTTACAAACAAACCAAAATCCAAGGCAATGATAGCAGGTAAATCAGAGAGTTTTAAGAAACATTTTAATATCCTTACATTGTCAGGAAAATATTAAAGATATAAATTAACATTAGATGTTAAGTATGCATGTTAAAAATATGCAAATAGACCAAATGGCGGAACAACTGAACAACAGCTTTATGACGTGTGCTGACTACCAGGGGGCACGCGCAGAACATGGCAGGCACTGGCAGCAGGCAGCAGAGTGTGTGACTGGCAGGATGGTGGGCAGGTGAATAGGAGTGTCAGACCAAGGTGGGGCACTGGTCGCTATCATCAGGGCAAACCTCTGGTAGTTACTGAAAATTCTTTGCTCCTGCATGCCGCAGTCCCACCCAGTGCTCACTGCTGGTGCCAGCCCCACTTGTACCCACTGCTGGTGCCTGGTGCTGGTCCTGATCACTTGGTGCCATCAGCGGGCGTGAGCAGCGGCTCCCGAGCCCCAATCGCCCTGAAGGCTTCTCCTCTTTCCCCTGCTCCTGAGAGGCGATCGGGGTAACAGCCACCACTTGCACCCACTGCTGTAGCCAGCCCCAATCACTCTGGCCCATCAGCGGGTGTGAGCAGGGCCGCTGGCAGACAGGAATCCATGGGGCCATGGTGGGAGGAGCCGGGCAGGGGTGTGGAGGATGGGCAGAGACCCACCCCTCTGTCCACCACAGCCCACAGTTCCTTTCAAGGTGCACAAATTCGTGCACTGAGACCCTAGTGAAAATATAAAATGCAATTAGTCAAACAGAAGGCAACAAGAAAAAAGGAACAGGAGATTAGGACATGTAGGAAGCAATAATTAAAATAGTTGATATAATCCAAATATATCAAAAGTCATAATAAATAGACTCAATTCTACAATGAAAAGCCAATGGCTTTCAATGGATAATGCAACAAAACCCAACTATATGCTATTGCAAAAGATAGTTAAAAGTTAAGGACAGAGAAAGGATGAAAATATAAAGATCCAAAAAGATAGTACAGGCAAATACCAGCAAAATTAAGTTCGATACCTCTATTAATATCATACAAATTGGGCTTTAATGCTTTTTCCTTTTTAAGATTTTTAAAATTCACTTAGAGCAATAGGAAAGGAGAAAGAGACTGACATGAACGTTGAGAGAGAAACATCAATTGATTGTCTGCAGCATGCCCCCTACAGCATGTGGAGCCCACACTCAGGCACCTGCCATGACCCGGAATCACACTGGCAACTTTCAGTGCACAGGACGGTGCCCAACCAATTGAGGGACACCAGCCTGGGCTGTTTTTTCCTTTAATGACTGTTAAGTCACTACACAGTGACAAAAGTTTAAAAACACCTCTATAGTGTAACCTTCTGAACTTAATAACAACTTAATAACCTACCTACAAAATATATTCAACAATAAAGAACTATAAGAAACAAATGGACAAACCCATCATTATAGGGAAACTAACAAAATTGGAAATAAAGATTTGAGTCAGACAATTAATAAGCTTTATCTAGAAGACACAAAAAATATAGCATAAACAGTGACTGGAGAATATACATTCTTTTTCCAGGCATTTGAAATACCGGGAAAAACTGAATATAGAGCAAGTCACAAGAAATGCCAAGGACTGATCATCAACCACAGTACCCGAACAGGATGCAGTTGTGTTAAAAATCAACCACAAAAAACAACTAGAAAATACTTCTTACAAAAAATAAAAAATAAAACCACCAAAAACCTCAGTGTTGAAACAATCACAACAGAAATTAAAACAAAAATATTTTCAGGAAAAAAGGAAACAAAACTTACTTCTTGAAACTTGTAGAACACACGGAAAGAGATACTCAGGGGGAAATAAATAGCTTAAATGCTTAAATTAGAAAGAAAAAAGATTAATAAGCTAAGTGTTCCATTCAAGAAGTTAGAAAAATACAGAGTAAGCCTAAAACAGAAGGAAGGGAAATAAAGGTAACAGCAGAAACAAAGTAAATGTTTTTTTTCTCTTTAAAAGCAGAAAAAGCCTTCAATAACATATTCCAACATCTTTTCTGATTATAATTTATTAATTTTAGCTATTGTAGAGAACTGGAAATAATTTTAGAAAGTGTTTCAGGGAAAAACAACCCCGCAAAAAAAAAAAAAAAAAAAAAAAAAAAAAAAGACTCAGCATACATCATACTTAGTACATTCATTTTAGGACCTGAAGCAAGAAAACAACCCTGCTATCACTACTTCATTTATATTGCCCTGTGGGTATTAATCAGAGTGAACAAGAACAATTGAAGAAATGGAAATTATAAGGAGTTATCAAAAAGAAAGAAACTATTATTATTCATAAATGCTGTGACTAATCATATAAAATGCAATGCATTAGCATCAATAAGAATTTAAAAATAAACCACATAAACTAATGAACAAAAATGGATTCAGAGACAGAAGCATTGATCAGACCATCAAACCTCAGAGGGAAGGTAGGGGAGGATGGGGATAAAAGGGAGAGATCAACCAAAGGACTTTGTGTGCATGCATATAGGCCTAATCAATGGACACAGACACCAGGGAGGTGAGGGTATTGGTGGAGAGGGGACACAATAAGGGGACAAGGACACATATGTATTCCTTAATTAATAAAGAAAAAATGTTTTAAAGAATTTAATAAGTTTTTTGGATTTAAAGTTAATATAAATAATTGGACTTCTCTACATCGGAAAATTGGAAGAAACCAACAAAAGCTCTTAAATGATTTTGTTTTTGCCAAATAAAGTATTAAATAATTACAGATTTTTATGTTCTGAGTTTTCTTGAGGTGAGTTCTATAAACTGAAGATATTAGATCTGACTTGTACAGGTCCAGAAAGTGAAAACCAGAAGCAGAGGAAGACAGAGACAGCAATGGAGAAGTATAAAGGGGGGGGGGGAGGCAAACCACTTTCTCTGAACACACACTAGTCAGAGATGTTTGTTTGGCAAGAATCTGCTGGAGTTTGCATATTCTGATTAAACACGCTTTTACATTTGGTTATCTCACACTCCCATCTAGTGGAAAGAACATACCATTCTACTACAGGATGTTGTCTTCAGTCTTGTTCTTTGGTTAACAAAAACAATATAATTAAGCATAAACCTGTCATATTGCTTTTTGATCAAGTGTAAAATCACACCTTTCTGAGGGGAAGGAGGAGGGTGGGAATTTACTCTGAATATAGATAAAGAGTTCTATATATGGCATACATCCTAATAATTAGCAAGTGATTGACTAAAGTAATAATGTCACAAGGTTATGTGATGAATAGTAGGCTTCTAGAGCTATATAACATGTGCACAACAAAACAGGGGAGTTAGATTTTTAGAAACTGCAAGATAAATTGTACAAGAGTAAGTGAAATAGAGCCTCCTGACTTCTAAAGCATGAACTATAACATGGATAAATAAATTATATTTACTATGAAAGTGTTATAAATATAAAGGCATATTAACCAATGATATCAGAGCCACCTGTATACTTTTTCTTACT